TGGGTTTATAAGATTTCTTCTTCTTTGAAGATGGTTCTTCATCGATGTATCTTTTCCTCTTCAACACACTTTCTCTGGCCATTGCAGAAATAGGAATATGATTTTGGTATCGAAGTGGGCGTCGGAATGAATAGGTCGACTATTTGATATTTCTAGGGTTGGAGTTTAAGATATCCACGAAATGAGAAGAAAGTAGGTCAGAAACATGGACTTGGACGGCGCAACACCACCACCTTTGTTGTACCGGAGACTGTAGAGAAGCACGCAACGTCTGTGAGATTTGAGAAATTTTGGGTTTTGTTTTGGGCGACTGCAGACGAGGGTGCAAGATATGTGGGGTTTGGAGATTTTGGGTTTTGTTATAAGTTAGAACGTAATTAATACGGCTTTGTGATGTTTAATTTAGTTCCCCACTTTTTAGAGTATGGGGACCTAATTTTCCCATGTTTAATTATATATATGTGTTGGCCTGTCTAATTTCCAAACCATTGCCATTTTTCAAGGTTCCACCCTTCCGTCGCTGCTTCTTCCTTCCTTCTGTCAAGTGACTCCACCTCCACCAATCTAGCCAGGCACCAGTCATGCCGGTGCGGAAAGCCGAAAGGTCCAGTGACCGGCTATAGCCTGTCGAGTTTTTGACGCTGCCCGCCACCCCGTGATTTTCTATTTTTTAATTTTATTTATTTTTTTGGGTTTTGGTGTTATTTTTTAGGGATAAAGCGGTACCAAACATTTTACCTTTATGCAGACTTTGCCCAAATCTTTTATTTGTGCCTTCAGAGGTACCAAACCTTAGCACCCGGAGTCCAAATGGATGATTTCTGTTAGTTGACTATAATAGTAGATTTTGACCAATTTTTAAAAAGGGTAAAATAGTAACTTTACAATTTTAATATAAAATACAATAAAAACTATATTTAAAAAAAATGATAAAAGGCTCTCTCTCCTTAACCTATCTCGTTCCCACCCCATTTCAAACGCCGGCACCACCAACCGCATCCACGTCAGTGTCACTGTCGTTTTCTCCACCTCATCCATTTTCACCTTGATTCTAATTTCTATGAAGTGTTGGAATCTCACCAAGTTGAAGCTTCGTGCCTGTTGCTTAAATTTTCATGTAGATTTTGCAGTTTCGAGGCCAAGGGCATGAATGCTCGTTTCAATAATTGCAAATTTCTTGAAGAATTATCGGTGAAGCGATTGTCTGGTGTCAATGACGGTGTTAGGGCCGAGCCAAAAGCCTCCACTTCCCTGGTTCTAAGGTTTACATTATCCATCGAAGAGATGAATTTAGGGCTTTGAAGATTATACAGAGCCGAGCTTTGTCAAACCCAAAGATTGAAGTCTTATGGAATTCCACGGTGACAGAGGCGTATGGGGAAATATCTTTGGGGGTTTGAAGGTGAAGAATGTGGTGAGTGGGGAGGTTACCAATTTGAACGTTTCTGGGTTGTTTTTTGCGATTGGCCATGAGCCGGCAACCAAGTTTTTGGACGGGCAGTTGGAGGTGGATTCTGATGGGTATGTGATCTCGAAGCCTGGCATCGGCTTGGTTGGATGATGGGAATGAAGGTGGCGGTGAACGATGAGATTTCGGTGAAACTTCCGACGACGATGTGGAAGTCAACAGGATTCTGATTTTTTATTTTGTCAGCAAATGCTGAACTAGTTTTTGGGTGGGTGAGGGATTTTTTTTTTAATTCTTTAATTTTAATTTTTATATATGAAAAATGTAAAATTACTCATTTGCCCTTTAAAAAATAGTCAACAATTAGTCAGACTTTTAATTTTTGATCAACTAATAGTCAAACTAACGATTTCTGTCAATTTGGATTGGAGCTGCGATTTTTTTAAAGATTTGGTACCTCTGGTGGCACAAATGAAAGGTTTGGGCAAAATCAACATAAAAGTGAAATGTTTGTACCGTAGCTGCAATTTTCCCTATTTTTTATTTATGAGTTATGATATCCGTAGGGCTGAAATCATGATTTATGTCGTATGAATAATGAATTAATTTGGCGAATTGGCGTGGAAAATTTGAAATGAGAATTGTGATTTCACTAATTTGTGATTTGGGGTAAATAATTTATATTGCACTATTGTTTGAATTATGAATTTTAAGTTATCATGAATGAGTCAATGAGTTGTGATTTGGAAATTACAATTCAACAATGTGTACTCTGATTTTTTAATCAATTGCAATTGAAAAATAAACTGGGACATTTTGCAATTGTAGATTATGGAACAATTTTTTTCAACCAAAACCTAATTTTTACGTTTTAGTGCGTTTATATAAATATTGAATAATTTTAAATATTATTTAATTAAATATTAATAAACTGCATCGCTCTTATGATCACTGATTATCAACGGTCAATGGTCTACGTTCGCCCGAGTTGAACTTTTGTGCTGGGTCCACCACTGTTTGTAACCCACCATGGGTCACGTACTTTCAAAATTACATTACTTTTGCATTCCTCGTGCTTTCGACTTGAGGGTTGCCAGGACTAAGACTAGGACACCGTCTGGTAATGCATGCAACCATATTTTCGTGGCATGGATATATTTCGATTAATGCAATATTAAAAGAACCTCAACGAATACAAATTCTAGATTCATCTCATTTAAATTGGTTGAACATGATTAGGTCAGGTTGGGTGGGGGAACTCTCTTTCTCCCTTAATTTCCAAAACACATCATTGGAAACAACATTACTATTGAAGAAAGTTATAATCATCATATATTTAGTATACGGGTCAAAAATGATCTACCATGATGGTGATGTGTGATGCTAAGATCTTGTGTGATTTTAAATGGAAAAACGTCATAGAATAAAGCCAAAAAAAAAAAGGTCCAGAAGTCATTAAACGATGACTTATGGAGCAAGTTGGTTCTTAGTGACGGTTTATGTTCATATTGCGTTGAAAAGTCGGGAATTTGTTGAAATGATGATTTTTCTTATTCTCAAATCTAAATTAAAGTAGAAATAAAGAGGAGAGAATGTATGTATCTATATCTTCTATATATCAAAAGTGGCTATGTAACGGAATTTCTTATTTTTAACGGAAAAACTAATGCAATTTGTTGTTTTAACGGACTATGTAACGGAATTTCTTGTTTTAAACAGGCAGCTGCCCCTTCCTTCAATATTTTTATCATAACTTTGTATTCCGATATCCGATTGAGGCGATTCAAAAAGCATTGGAAAGTTACCGCATCTGGCTACAACTTCATTACATCATTAATTATTTATAGGGTGTCTGTTTCTGCTTTTCAGCAGAAATCAAGCTGTTGGCAACACAATTCATGCCGTTGGGAGCCGCAATTTTAGATCAATTCTCTCATTGTAGGGCTGTAGGTTTAAAAAAAAAAAGGGGTAACATAATCAATTTTTTTTCCTCCTTGCAGGGCGCCCAGACACGCTCTTAATTAACCAAAAAAAAATTTACATCTTTATTAATAACAAATTAATTATTAAACAAACATATTAAATATAAACTAAGCAAACGTGCATTGCACGTTACTTGCACCTAGTACAGGACTAAATATCCATCGATCAGGTTTGAAGAAGAGAAAAAACTAAAATCTTGTGGATTAGTCCAATAAAGTCGAGCATATGAAACGCATACTTAGTTCATTACATATATTTCATCAGTATGAGTCACTTTTCCCAACTAATGACTGTTAGAGTGTTGCTGTCTTCGATACAAAAATCTTCCAGCCTATTCTACATTCCCAAAGTTTTGCTTCAGGATACAGAAATTCCATCGGTTATATAACACTGCAAAAGTGACTCCAGCATTCAACTACCAGTAGGTAAAGCATCTCAAATTCTCCAAAACCCTTCGCTCTACACTCATTTTTCTTGGTAGAAAACACTTGGTTTCGACAGTACAAAGTATTTGCCATTCCAATTCAATAAACTTGACATATTATTAGAGAGAAAATGAGATTTCTTGTTACAGCATTGTTCTTATGTATATTTCTTTCATGTGCAGGTAAACTTGTATTCTCGATCAAATTCATTTTGGATCCTGAAATTCTGTTTCTTTTTTAAAAAAATAAAATTCTTACAACTTGTTTAGTTATTGGTTGCTGCAGCTGCCTATGATCCTTTGGATCCCAGTGGGAACATAACGATCAAATGGGATGTAATGTCTTGGACACCAGATGGCTATGTGGTGAGTACTAAATAATGTATACAAATTATGGTGAACATGTAAAATGGCCTTCACTTAGGTTTTTTTTTTTTTGTCAAAATAGCGTTCGTTTTACTTAAAAAGATCATGAAAATGTTCATTATTTAAATAACTATGATTATATATACGTATCCTAGGCTGTTGTGACGATGAACAATTTTCAAATGTACCGGCACATCATGAGCCCGGGCTGGACCCTGGGATGGACATGGGCTAAGAAAGAAGTAATATGGTCCATGGTTGGGGCACAGACCACAGAACAAGGGGACTGTTCCAAGTTCAAAGGTAACATACCACATTGCTGCAAAAAGAATCCAACAGTGGTGGACTTGCTCCCTGGTGTTCCTTACAACCAGCAATTCAGCAACTGCTGCAAAGGTGGAGTCATGTCGTCATGGGGTCAAGATCCACAGGCTGCCGTCTCTGCCTTCCAAGTTAGCATTGGCCAAGCCGGCACCTCAAACAAGACTGTAAAGCTTCCTAAGAACTTTACCTTGTTAGGTCCTGGACCAGGCTACACTTGTGGTCCTGCAAAAGTTGTGCCTTCAACCAATTTCCTCACAACTGATCGGCGCAGGAAGACTCAGGCCCTGAGTAATTTCTTTTTTTCGTATTTCTTATGCAGTATTAGATATGATAAGACGTTAAATTTAAGATCGAAAAGAATTGTTAGTCACCCAACTTATAGCAGTTTTCCAATTTGGTCACTGAACATTTTATTTGTTCAAAATTAGTCACTGAATACCACTTTAGACATTCTGTCAGCTCAATTAATACCAATGCTGACGTAGTTAACAAAAAATATGGCATAGCATAGAAAAGCCGTTAGTGCATTATTTTTAAAGTCCAGCTGGGGAAAATGCTTCTTGTTGGATTAGTTCAACTTTTAAATTGCATTTTTTTTTTTCCCAACAAAATGAAACAAAAACATTAACGGATTTTTCCCAGCTGCACAATGAAAACAGAACAATAAAAGGTTACCCCAATGCTACAACTTTGGTGACTAACAGTGTTTTTAACCCTCTAATATACAAAATTTAGCTTCTTTTTCTTTAACAGTATTCTTGATTGAGCTCCAGTTTGCTAATACTTGGATACAATGCAGTGACATGGAATGTGACATGTACCTATTCACAGTTTCTAGCCCGGAAACACCCCAGCTGTTGTGTCTCATTTTCGTCGTTCTACAATGAAACAATCACTTCTTGTCCTTCTTGTGCTTGTGGCTGCGAAAACAAAAATAAATGCATCAAGTTAGCAACTATTTTGATATGCCGCATCAATTTTTATACATTTTTCGTGTAAAATGAGTCGAATAACTGGTAACTATGTATGCAGGAGCGACTCAAAACTTCTTAGTATGGTTGGGATTAACACTCCGAGAAAAGATAACTCGCCCCTTTTACAGTGCACGCACCATATGTGCCCAATCCGGGTTCACTGGCACGTTAAGGTCAATTACAAGGACTACTGGCGTGTGAAGATTGCGATAACTAATTTTAACTATAGAATGAACTACACACAATGGACTCTTGTTGTACAGCATCCAAATCTGAACAATGTAACTGAAGTTTTCAGCTTCGATTACAAGCCTCTGGTTCCCTATGCATCCATCAGTAAGTTTATAAACTTGTCTGAGAACATTTGATAATATATTACACGCACGTTCACTAAGGACATGTACATTTGATACGTGCAGATGACACTGGAATGTTTTATGGCATGAAATTCTACAATGACCTGCTGATGGAAGCTGGGCCGTCTGGGAATCTGCAGTCGGAAGTTCTTATGCAGAAGGACAAGAACACCTTTTCCCTCAAGCAAGGATGGGCATTCCCCCGGAAAGTCTATTTCAACGGTGAAGAATGCATGCTGCCACCACCGGATACTTACCCGCTTCTACAAAATTCTGCTCATCCAAGTCGAGTTTCTATCTCAACATTGTTTAGTTTTGTACTTCTGTTTTCTGTCGTAATGTGGTGATCAGTTTTCAACTTTTGATAGTATTGGAATTTTGAAGACAAAGAACTGAGACTCTCAGTGATTGAATGATTACTATCCAGTAATCCTAGCAACGTCAAAAATTTAAACCTCTGTTTACTATATGGTGTATTCACAGTATGTAGCATTTGTCAAATTGTTCTTTCTCTACACTATTGCAAACTACCTACAATATGGGACAGTTAACCGTGAGGAGCTTATTCTTTACGGGAAGCTTAATCAGACACTTATCTCATTAGAGTTCGAGTTCTTTCTTTAGGCAAGATGCCTAACCTCATCTGAGCTCAGCTGCACAGGCTGAAAAGTTGGCAGGATTTGTATAAAAGAGTGAGTGCACATTGAAGCTTAGTCGAAGACTCTCTAGGTGGAATTAGACTTTTACGACTCTAGTAATACTATGAACTGAAAAATTTACGAACAATGAACAATGTATATAAAGCAATAGCTAAATATGTTATACAAGTAGAAGATAAAAATGGAAGTGACTTTACTAACACTTACAGAGGAACATCCGAAGTATATTTGGTACAGAATACTGAAGAGTAAACAATAATAAAGACACTGGAGTTTAGCTTCATTTTACTTTCCCATTATTGCCTGGCACTGTACATTTCACCTTTTGAGACAAACAACAATGTTCAAATTTTGCATCTGAAACCATATGAAATGTGAAAAAGGTGTTGGCCAGGCACATGAATTTTTCGATACATTCATAGCCTGTCTATGTTTCACTACACCTTGGATCAAATGCAGTGCATCTCCAATCGTGGACGCCTCATCAAATGTATATTAGTATTCATGTCATAAGATTTATGAAATTTTTACCTAGGCTACAATTTTTTGGATCGATGTCACAAGACATTGGAGGTGTCTTTGGAAAACTATAATTCCATCTTGTCTCGAATCATTAATCAGTGTTGCTGTATGTAAGGTGAAAGTTTGGGATTGTCAAGATAAGCACCTTTCCTGACTGAGTTGGTATGCTCCAGCTTTCTGTGTTGGACTACAAGTTTTGTGCATATTTTAACTTCTACAAGTACCATCCACTTCACCACTCAATTCAATCTATTCATACTTTAAACTTTTCAATGTCAATGCTAAGCTCTTTTTCTGACCTCAACGGGAAAATTCTAGAGATTGCTTCAAAGTAGGATCCTTGCGTTAACGGGTAGATGGTGAGGGGAAAATGATCAAAATGTCTCATCAATAAAGTGCAGGCAACTATCCAAACCACATAACAAAAGGGTAAAGCTGTTTGAACAAGGCCACGTAGGCCTGGTTCATGTAGGGCAGTCCATAACAAAAATACTCAAGTTTACTGCCAACGTAAAAAATAAATCACCGTGTTTTTAATAAATATACTTACATCTATGTAACATAGAAATAACTGAAATGAATGTGCCCCATGGCCTCTTCTGCCAAATTCACCAAAATATACACGTTGAATTTAGTTTTGACAAAGATCGGGATTCCTCTAATACATATGCAGAAATGGGTTGGACTTGTTCCGAGATTATCCACTGGCCCATCCGGTATGACTAGTATTGTGAATTAGAGACGTCTGTCATTACTAATTGCTAATTTAGAAAACAAAATTTCAGTGAATCGCCAGCCCTTGCATTGCCTGAACGCCATCTTCGCTTATCTTGTTAGCTTGAATGGTGCTTAACACATTTGCAATGTTGCCCTGGGAAAGTAAACATAAATGAAAATAAATAAATTCCTTGAAGGTGTCATCCATGAAAATGACAAGTGCATCCTAGTAAGCATTTATTAAGCATACCCATCAAGCATCAAAAGAAGCTTGGATTCACATGCCAACAGATGGTTTGTATCATAGAATGACGTAGTACATACTCGGCATACAAATTACTATTCAGTTCACATGACATGCTTGACTAGACTTACAAAAAAAATAGAGATATTTTCGAGCAACTTTTTATTTTTAAATACATTTGATATATTACTTTTTCCTTACTTTAAGTAAAACAGTAACTTATTTAAGAACTAACCCGTGTTACTATCCAAAAAAAAAAGTAATTTATTCTCACTTCGCTATTTAAAAATATCTGTTCGTTTATAAACTTAATCACGTTTAAGTAAACTTGCTTGTAACTTTTTTAAGATCAGCCAAACATGCATCAAAAATGAATTAAATTCAGTACCCTCCAACTTGCAAGCTTCGTTTGAAGGGCCTGCCACTGATGCTGCCCGAACCTGCGATCTATGCAGCGGCTGCACCCAAAATAGTAAATTCAACTATTACAAATGTGTATCTCAATTCTCACTCTACTTGCAGGAAGCAGACAGGAAGAGAAAGCTCTATTGCGCACCTCACGAGAACTAGTTGGTTCATCTGATCAATTTTACAGTCCATTAACTTAGCCGTGATTGCCTTAACAACCCAGAGTTCCACCTCATTGTCGTCGATCTACAAAAAATCAAAAAGCAAAGTAAATAAACACATAATACAAAGAGGATATTTAAAAGAATTAAAAATAAATAAATAAATAAAATTACCTGAAGTGTGTCCCTTATCAAGGAATAAGGAATTTGAGGAGACTCATTTGTGCCAAGACTTACGAGTGACATCAGCCTCATCTTCTCAATGCAGTCTTCATGGATAAGCCCTAGTGATGTCCAGCAAACAAATTAAATGTATCTACCACATCAAACATAACTCATCCAATAACCCAGATCTCAAATATCACAAAGAGAAATGTTTACCATAGCTCTTTAGCAAAGCAGAATTGGCTGTATAGAAATCCAAGTATGCATCAAGCCTCTGAGTCAAAAAGATATTTAAAAGCTGATACACCTGTGCATATTTAGCATCTTTCTCCAGTTGTGCTACAGCAGGCATATCTAGCAAATCACCCTGGCATGCAAACACAGAATTAAAGAAGAGAAAAAAATAAAAGCAATAAGAGAGCAACATAAAATAAAGACATGGTGNCAATAAGAGAGCAACATAAAATAAAGACATGGTGCTGGATACCTACGAGTCATTATAATGCAGTAGAAATCACATATAATGCACAGTGAACGTAAAATATCTCAAGGCCTATAAATCAACACCCAAAACATGTACGAAGCCATCTTGACAAATAACTTTTAAAGTTTAGAAACAGAAACATGCACATACCAACAGTAAAGCTGATAATATGGAAGTTCGCTGCTAATTTTTTCTCCATGATTTACTATTTCAATGTGAAAGTTCCAAGTTCTTATTGGTTAGAAATCAATTGTCACCATGTGTCTTGTGTTATTGAAAACAAAAATAGATCAACCATTCCATTGTTATCTTTCAAAATAAGCAAGCATAGAGTAAACTAAATCATAGGGGGTCCTAAGATCTAAGATGTACACAAAGGGTCATTTTGTTCATCGAGACTCAGATAACTATCCAGAAAACGATAAGATCAGAATATAGAACTATATAGTGCTGGTTTCCCACTCTAACAACATTTTCTTACATCATTTATGGAATATAAAAGAGAGAAGCCATATCAAAATGGATAAAAATAGGCATAACAATTACGTGCCCAAATGACGAGAAGGGGGAGGGGGAGTACTGCATTATCTAGTATTTTAGCATGTATTGTTATGAACATGTACCGAAGTCTGCTTACCATTTCTCCTCAATTATGGTACCTCACAAGATTCTCAACCTCATGATGACACATTCTTGGTAATACGACCAAGTTGACAAATATGAAGTCTAATGGTCTTTCTATGAATATAATAGCAGCTGATGCATTCATGATGAGGAAGAACTGAGCATACGATTTTCAGGATACAAATGCTAAAATAAAATAAGCTGTCTTTAAAGGGCAATCAGCATAAACAACATTAAAGAAGCAGAAAGGCACTTCAGTTTTAATTCTAAATCAGGGAAGATAACCAGCAAATTCAAATCCATAACTGCTCGTGAAATCTATAAGAAAGTATGCTTTGATTCATAAGCACTACTGCACTACACGAAATTACATAACCTACAGGAAATATATTGACAATGATACCTGAAACATATCAGGTGCCTCGACAAATTCAACTATGGTGCGGACAGCTTCTTCCTTTGCTTCACTCATTGACGGTTCATCTTCACCGGAGAAAGTCGCCAGATACTTGACAAGAAATTTAAAAGAATCTTTCGAGGAGCTGAAATTCCAAGAAACTTGTTATGAAATTACTTGCTGCATAATTGAGCAAAAAAACAACAAATTTCAATAATCTCTTAGTAGGGTCTCACCTTTTATTTTCCTGTAAAATATTAGCAACTGTAAGAAAGAGATCTCTCTTGTCCTTAACTCCAAGATTCCACTCCCTCAAAAAGCTATCTATTTTTTTAAAAGACGGCACAACATGTTCGGTGACCTTTCCATTGACCGACATATTAAGGGCCTTCATGTACACAAAGAACCGGCTATATGGGTTTTCCAATAGGTTATAGAGGTTAAACATGCTGAAAGAGGGTAAAAGCAAGTATTAGACAGCAGCAACAAGATTTGAAAAACTAAAATAAATATAACTGAGGGCCATTACATCTTCAAGCGCAGGGCAGGCTTCTCTTTTGACTGTTGGGTTACTTTGGTAGATATAAGCTCTGCCATCTCATGAACTTGATCCAGAGTCTCAGGTTTATTGACAAGGTTGCAAATGACAGTATAAACACATTCAAGATCTGGGGCCAAAGTTAACAAACAGCAGCTTATATGAGTTAAAGAGTATCATAAGCAGCAAATAACACATTAAAATAGCATCACAATAGAAATGCGATGATGTAAGAAATCTATTTCTTTTAACAGAAATGAGATATTCGAACTTCAAACCTATAATTCAAAAAACTCGAACATCTAATGAATTGGTATTGTCAACAGAGATTTAGGATACTTTGTCGAGGTGACAGGAAAAAGATTACATTTAACCAGCATCTTTCTAGATTGGTTCAAAAGTTTCTCAGTAACAACCACTTCAGCTGAATGAGAGTTGGAAAAATCCTGAAGCTCCTATTATATCGGCATATTTTAATACAAAAAGTTCCACAAATATGTCAATAAGATGCGCAACTGTACTTGAAAATTTCAGTAACCTAATTACAATTGAACGTGAGGGAATGAGAGACTCGAAACTTTTTTTACCTTTCTCGGACGCTTTGGAGAAGACTATATCAGCAGATGTGAGCATCAGTGATGCTAAATCCAACCACCTGTTTTGTATCATACACTCCTGCGCCTCCACAAACAGTCTACTCACCTGTTCCTCCGCCACCTATCAATATCAAATATAAGAATTCGACATCAGTTACATGCCAAGTTCGAAAAATAAAATCCCGAAGTCCCCAGAACACCCAAAGTGCAAAAATTCACACTTATCACGACATTTCAATGAATTTGAGTAAATCCTTTACAAAAATTATTACAACAATAAATTACATATACACGTATAGCGTATTCACATCTATTCTTATAATAAATATGCGTGTGTACATATTACATCGGCACCAGCGTCGGCCCAGGACAAGTCGGCGGTGAAACGGACAACGGAGAGAACGGGATCTTCCTCGGAGGTGGGAACCACGGTGGTCATGACGTGACGTTATGCGATAAAATGGAAAATATATCGGCACAATATTTGAAACCTGAGTTTGCTCTACCGAGACCTTTGGAGGGCTACGGAAAGAAACAGCGACAGAGTGAGGAAAAAAAACCCTAATTTTGGGAGAGCGGAGAAATTTTGAAATATAAGAAAGGGTATTCATGTAATTATAATTTTTTTCTATTTATCAAGTTTGGATAATTATATTAACACTACGAATTTTCTTATTTACTTAAAGAGTAAAAGTCACTTTGCCCGAATTTGGTATCACCTTTGTTGACCGACCCTCACATTGCACCGTAGGTCCCGCATGAATTAAATAATGTCAATCCCCATGTATGTGTGTTCAATCAACCAAGATGTCATCCAAAATGTTCATATAGCATTGCTCTCACAAACATAAAATAATTTATTCAAAACTCATATTTGATCAAACAAAGCCTAAAAAATTATCTCTCTCCCGTTCTCATTTGTTTCAATCCCCCATGGGCATGAACTATAATATAACCATTTGTCACTAACCCGCCCCTGAAAAATGTAACATTCATTAATCAAACAAAAAAGATCTGTCTGCAGGAGGAGTCGGTGTAAATTCAGGAACGTCGAATCTTCATGTACTTGTGCAATTTCGAGATCGAGCAATGCATTGGTAATAATTATCACTATTTGATTTCATCCATATTTCTGGGACATGTTCAACATAAAATCCTTCTATTAAACGAAAGAAAACCGAATCAAATCGATGAATTATCCAAAAACCCGTCAATTGGATCAAAAGGGCACCGGTGAAATTCATATTGGCGCCCCACTGATTGTTTCATGAGTCAAAAAAAAAAAGGAACAAAAATTGTTTCATACGAGTCAAACAAACAACAGAAAGATAGCTGGTGGGGAGAAGGGGTGAAATGAAAAGGATAATAATGTGGTGTACTTTATTTTTCTCTTTTTATTTTAATTGGGTTAGGTTGTATTTGTCAATTGATTGTGTATTTATGAAAATATGTTTTAATTGTGGTGTAAAATATAAAATTTGTGGGGTATTATATTTACCCTTTGGTTATTTTGCTATGGATATTTAGCCCATAGCCATGATTTGGGAAAAAAAAAAAATTATACACACATTTTTAACCACACATTTATACAATAAAATATTCTTCACGTAAATGAAAAAAATTCTATTTTTTAACCACACTTCAAATTTAATAGTAGCTATTGAACTACAAATTAGACCTTATTTCTCGTAAAACGATACTCTTAAATCACAAATCTTATTACTTGTATAACAATTCCGTACATTTGCAGATTTTGTCCAAACACAATTACAAGCCTTTATTTTATTAATTTGACAATGCTTGAAATTTGATATGCATATAATAAATTTGACTGTAGCCAATTTATCGGGCATATCTATTAATGTTACGTTGAAAGATTTAATATGTCTGAAGCATATAATTCAAGCAATATTATCAAAAAAAGAAGTAAAAACGCATTGTACTCTTTTTTCCTTTGACCAGTGTTTTGTCCCATTGAATTTTCCTGACAAGATTTTAATAAAGCAACTTTTATAGCGTATTCAAAGGAATAATGTACTCTTTTTCCTTCTTATCATTTTTCTTAATAAGATTTTAACGAGATATTTTTTGTGCAATGAATGACCATAACTTAAAAAAGATATTTGTCTTCAAAATAATATTTTGATATGTATGTGACTCCTAAAGAGATTAACAAGAGCTATTTTTTGAATCATTATTTTACTGCCGTCAAAGGTTGATAAATATTTCGTATGAAGACGTTATTTAAAAACTAAACAAGACAATATGAGACATATTTCACCAAACATTGTAATATTGAAGGCATTGACGTACAAGCTAATGATGAAATGATATAAAAAATGTAATTAGGGGAGCAGTTGTATCCTTTTCTTTCGATCAAGTTTTGTCCTATTGGATTTTCTTGACAAAGTTTTAACGAGACAGATATTTTGTAATGTGTTATTCAAAGAGGAGTGTTATAAATGGTAAGTTTATTAATGAATATCAATTGTACTCATGTAGTCCTAGAAATTATTACCATTACATCCAAATCATACCCCCCTATGCATATGGGGCCTAGACTCTTAATAATACACACAAGTCTATTGACTTATCTCTATTTTTCCATCTTTTCTCTCTAGTTTATAACACATAAATATTTTTTGAGAAAAGTAAAATGAAAAGCCAAAATAAAGAACATTGTTGGAGTGTGTAAAATTTTTACTTTCTAAATTTAAATATGCTCTCTATTATGCATAAGATGATCTTTATAAATAAGAACATCTTGGAGATACTCTTAAACAGAGGTTTACTAATGGTATACGAATTACACATATTACAAGATATATTGCGCAAGCAAGTAAAATGAAACAGAGATCACAACATGAAAGATTGAATCCTAAGATTCAGTTAATACATTTAGCACTTACTGCTTGTCTTAATTGTTTTTTGCTAATTACACCCAGTAACAAAATTCAATAAAGCACACACACAAACCAAGCATTCTAAGCATTCGTTGAAGCAATCGAACCAGAATAAGGACATCATTTGCTGCCATCACCAAATAAGTAACCCAAGGAAGAGCCACCACCAGGTGCAGCATGGACCTTGGTCGAAGGACGTTCCTGTAACCACATGATAAGAATTACTCGTCAGATAAGTAGAAAAGATAAACCTACATGGAATAGCATGTCTCTCCCAAATCAAAGAACTGCTAGAAGCGAAGCAGAGTTTAGATTGAAGAATGCACACATAATGTTAAACCAAAAGATGTACTGATATATAGAATTGTGAAATATTATCATCTATCCCCCTTTTCTTGTCAAGAAAATCGAGGATGAAACGAGAGGGGAAAGAAAAGAGACCATGAATATGTTTGGCTAAGCTTAAAAAGCTAATTTATAATTAAATAAATTTTAAAATAGCCAATTTTCTTTAGTAGTGAAGATTGGAAATAAGTTACTTTATCGACGAGGTAAGAGTTACTTTCAAAGTAACTTTAAAAAATGCTCATACAAACTAATTCTAACGGGATGTGGCTGTGTTCAGTGCTTGTAAAGCAAGCATGCACTCACACAGTAAAGACCACGTGCATCTAAAGCACCATTTAATAAGATCAATGTGACTATATGTAAAACCCCCATAAAAAATTCGAATTTCCATCTTTATGTGTTGGGGTTGCTCTTGTATTTAAATAAACTACAGGAGCATTGACACAAACAAACTACAAAAAATTGTGAGACATTTCAACTTCTAATATGCCAACCAAATGTGTATCTCATTCGTGGGAACCAAACAGTATATCAATACTTGAAGAATACAAATGATATGAGGCCAAGGAACCAAGTAAGTGTGCTCAAGAAAGACGGACTAATCTTTTCTATTTGCATTAAACTTCGCTTTTAGGACTCGGCATGGAAGAAATATGAAAAGATGGTATGAACAGTATGTTACCGTTAGAAAGTTGCCACAGTTCTGCCCATCTGCTCGAAGGTAGTTGTTTGTAGTGTTACCAGGTATGCCTGCAGGAGTCTGCTTACTGTTATCCACAGATTGGGGAGTAACAGAAGGCTTAGGAGAAGGCCCGCTGCTTGAACCCTTGGGGGGAGCATTAGGGGCCTCTCCACCTCCAAAAAGATATCCCAAAGAACTCTGTCCCCCACCAGCACTGACTCCACGGCCCATTCTCTCTGATTATTAATGAAGGAGAATTCAAATTAATCATACATAAATGAAGACTATGGAAGAAACTCCATTTACTTGCATAATATTTAAATCATACACAGACACAACTGTAAAGTTTTAAATGCCACGAAGAATTTGCTGCTGCATGAACAAGTCAATTTTGAAATCCTATAAAGCATTCACCAAATGGATATAATGATACTGTGGAATTAGACAGGCAAGATAAGTAATAAATTCTGCTGGCAAACCACATCTCTGCAACATTATTCAGAAGAATTTTATGCAGAAACAACAATGATGTAGATGCATATAAGTTTAACATACAGAAAAAACATAGTTTGTGTGCAGAAAAACTAGCCACATTATTAGGAACTCGGAATTTTTCTTTCCTAACAGGTGATTGTCAAGAGGAATTTGCACAGTGCACAGCCAAAGTCCCAATTACATTTTGGCCTAAGGCATGTCTCCACAAAGGCTACAAGTTTATTTGATCTAATTATGTTGATTTCTATTAACAGTTTTCTCCTTGTCTCACTTTTCACTCTTTCTAGGGGAACATCAGGTTGGGGGTTTTGCATATAACTGTTTCTCACGAACTCTTAAATTTTATGCTAATAACTATTTTACAATAACCATGTACCGATTATTTAGCATAGTGGCACTAGGGTCCCTAATTGGATCCACGAAAGAATCCAAAGAAAACATGAGGTAAAATTTTATACAAACAATTTTGTGGAGACATATTACAGATTATCCATTTAATCACTTGCACTTTATATAAAACCGAAGTAAATTTAAAAATTTTAAATATGATTATAGTTTGGTAGGAGGGAAAAGGCAAAGAAACGACCTACTTATTTCCTTTTCTGGAAGTCATGACTCCTGATCTTTTATTAGAAGCTTCTGACAAGCATCACTTAACAATTACACAATCCATATTTCAAAAATGTACCTGCACTTTTCTCTCTTTTCGAAAATTTGATCATGCCGGAAAATGAGCATTTATTTGATAACCAGGCTTCAAAACCAAGCATATACCATAAAATTTTGCTCCTTCAAAATTTCATAATCAAAATCGCCAAGAAATTCTATTTCCAGAAATAATACTGATAAATAGATCCAAGAATCGACCATAAGATTTTGCTCCTCCTTAGAACGTCTAATCAATATTGCCAAGAAAACTCCATTCTCAGAAATAATATATTTTGCACGGCAACAAGTAAACATATCCAAGATTCGGACGTTGAAATCATAATGGCAATGAAAATTCAATTTTTTTTTTAAAAAAAATATATATTCAGCATCATCTCATTAACGTACTAATAAACGATCCATTCATGGATCGAAATATACCTTCGTATGATTTAGGGAAATTCTAATTTCAACAGATATATACATGTTACATCATTAATGCATAAAAAATTAACTCATTTCATAAATTGAAATATGCCTCGGCGAGATCTGACGAATTAGACAAATGGAACATCAAAATAACACTCCAATGAAGCATAACCGTTAAAAAGAACGGCAAATGGACAGAGATGTAATAAGAAAAAAAAAATCATATCTGCCACAATGAATCACATTTATTCGAAAAACGGGTCATTAAATTCATAACACCATTGTTAAAATTAATCCAATAAAATCGAGATCATTTGAATCAGACCATAAAATGAAAGAATTTCTGCATTTCGTACCTTTTTCTGCTGTGGATTAAATCCGAAGGACGAAATGTATCACAGCAAGACTTATTGGAGAGAAGGGAACGGGTGTTTAAAAGATTTGAATTGTAGGATAAATAGGAGCGTCTTCACGGAAATTGAAGAATTGTCGTGGAGGTTCCCAATCTATTAATGTTGTAGCAAGTTGGTCTCTAAAATTTATTATTTGACAGACAAGTCCACTCCCCGCTGCTCCACCCACAAATAACCCATCATAGGCAAGCAACAGCAAACGAGGTGAAAGAAAAATACAGAGAAGGAAATAACCTTGCATACAGACGGACGAGTTAGGATCAAGAATTACTTCATTAACTAATCATTGAGCAAAAAATACGTTTTAGCTCCGATTTTTATTGACAAGATGTACAAATTTTGGTTTCTTTGCTTTTTTGCCCGAGGTCTTTCTCTCTTTGTTTATTTATTATTGAAATAACTGTAACTTATTTTACTCCTTAATACTTGTGAGTGAGAGATGGAAGTTTTTTCAAGGATGTAAACCATTAAGTGAAGATCAATGTGTAATGAAATTAAAAGATTAAGGACTTGTACGTTACAAGGGACTTCTGCCACAATTTTATCAAACATCGAGCTGGCACTTTTGTTTTTTCGTGGTTGGCTTCTCAATTATTAGAGCATCCCAATGCTAATGTGAATTATGACTCACAAAAATGGACTAGATGCTTATAATAGTGGAAGCTAGAAATAAATTCTTTACTTGAACATAGGAGCATGATTATATATTGTGTATTGAAATCCGTCACATGTCACCATCAATCGAGAACGTAAAGTCACCGACGAAGCAACATCATATTTGGTAAAGATCAATGAAAATACTTGCTTGTGCACACATTTTCAAATTGATGAGACGTGGTACCTTCATACAATAACAGTAATTGGTAAAAAAAGAATTTAGTATACGAATATTGCTCACCTTATTTTTAGCAAAAATCATATCTTGTTGATCATTCACAGAACAATATACCCTCTTCGCAACCAATCTGGATCGAATGTACCGAAGAAAGTCAAAGATATGATGCACTAGCTCGTAAATCAAAGAGAAGGTTTGAAGGAACACAAGAAAAGAGAATGAAATCGTAGTGTGAGGGTAAGAAGTTAGTAATATGTGGATGTTTAGGGTAACAAGTACAAGGGACTTCATTGGTTGATTTTCTTTTTGTGTTTATTTTTCACACATAGTAGAGGAAGAAGAGAGGAATCGCCTGCCGGCTGCCAGTGCAGGACTTTAGACTTCATCCAGTTCCCGAACCATAATTAACACGCATTCATATTTGAAGTAGGGAATGTAACCACTTTGCCCAAAAACTATAGTTCATAGAGCCTACAATATACTCTATATCACCTAGCTTCGGGCCAAAGAATTGACCCAAACTCGTTCCATTTGGCCTCACTTTGAAGGACACCATAAGAATGCATCATTGACCAAATAGTGACCTTGAATCCACCTAGTTTCGAGCATGCTCTTGCGTTATATCCACCAACAGAAATTTTGATGCAATGGTCTAACAATTAACAATGGCTTAGAAAACTACGGGTAGAAAAATAGTAACAGATGTCACTAAAAATTACTTGCATAGATCACTAGCGCCAAACGATGATACAAACATTCCATGGTTTGAATTTGTTGCATTAATTCAGGCTCTATATGGATAAAATAAGCGTGATTCTAATCTCAATTATGAAAAAATTACCAATCAACATACCTCAAGAACTCATGAAAGTTGAAAGAAATCTGTAAAGACCAATAGGAGAAAACTCATTGACTTTGCAGCATCCCAGGATTTTGCTAACCGTGGTTCTGACCCATTGCAAACCAACTTCTGCTTTAAATTCAACCTTCATGTATCGCTCTTCAATTCTACACTCAAACTGCAAGCTCTGCTTCTTTCTTGTCTCTTGAATACAAATACACACAAGTCCCTTGAAAGTTTTCACCCATTTGCCTCTCTTTCATGACAGGAAAAGTTGGAATCAAAATGATTAACATCGGGTGCACCAGAAAACCCCTGAACAGGACCCAAATCCTCTAACCCCTGAATCACATCAAACACATTATACTCATTCCTATTAGCTAAATTTGCACACAAGCCGTAGTTTTTCCAATCTCTCTAACGTACCTCACCATACATCTGAAAGGGTGTCAAGAGCAGACATCTGGAAGCTCTGATACTGCTCTCACATACCTGCGCCACAGCAATTCTAGCAATGGCCTAGGTGAAATCATCATTTCCGGATGTTTTATTCTTATTTTTATCCTGGGGATTTCCTTTTTCTTTTTCTTTCAAGAATTTGACACCATAATTCCCATCTCCATCACTCATGTTCAACAACACTTAATAATCATAAAATTTAACTTAGCTCGAGCTAAACTTCCTGAAAATGCAAGAAATTTTCCAAGAATTTAAGAAAAAATGCATTGTTCACCGGAAATTCATGTATTCAAGAAGGTTGAGTAAAACCCTAAGTTTTTTGCATTTTCCTAAGGCAGTACAAATTTGTGAGAGAAATTGAAAAAAAAAAGGAGAAGTAAAGACAAGCACGTTACTTACCTTAAGAGTTTTTAGGGTTTATACTGGACTAGTTCAGAAAGAGAATTAATAGATCTTTGAGTAAAAAGAGAATGCATAACCATACATGGAGAGATTAACTGAGATATTTGATGAGGATAATAACTAATTAAACTGCCATAAAACCCTCTATCCAGAGAGGGCGCTAGGGAGGGGTAGTAACTTGAACTTGCTCTCCCAACAGATCCAGAGCGAAATAAAATATATTTTCTCATCTCAATTCAGTACACCACACAAGGTTGCCTTTTGAGTTTCAGGGAGTGTTTGGTGTCGACAGATAATAAACGAGCAGATATGTATGCAGCACAAAGAATCAACTCTATTAAATACTTACTTTGCACTCATTTTGATTCCAGAATACTTAAGGTACCAAAAGATATATAGAGAGGATTTAATGTTACAATGCTTGAAGTTGGGGCTTGCAAATATATTGGCAATTGCTACATTTATAAGTGCATGATCAATGGATTCATGTGCAACACAGTGCTTGCAGACAGAGGCAAGACTGATATGAAATATTTTCTGAATGAGATCCATTTGTGCCATGATTTCCAAGCAAAGAACAAGATTGCTTTTTCCATACGTATCTGAAGGAGGATTGGATGCTTTGTCTTTTGTCTTACTTCCCAGCAAGAAGCTAGAGCGAATAGGCCATTATTAGAAAGACTAAATCAATCCCTTCAGAATATGGAGGAATTTTGGCAACATCTTGTACCGTTGAGGTAGGTAAGAGGATCTCTAGTTTAATCAAATTCCAGTGTCCCCCTTCTATTTTACGGACAGGAATAAGTGAATGGGGTAGATGAGGATACTTGAGCTTTAGAGAGATCCTCTATTCAGAAAGATATATTCACAATTCTGTTCAATCAATCTAAGTTATGCAAATAACTATTCAACTCATCCATCGATTCACAAGAATTCCCCGCTGATTGCTGATGCAGAAGAATCTGTAAATATGTTATCTTGCCCTTCTCTCATTCTGATGGTCAAGGGCACTGCAGATGAAGCTGCTGATATCAACAAGTATGCAATAATCTGTAATCCCAGAACTTTCAATTTTAATGATTCTTTTCAATAAAAATGTCATTGCTAGCGTAAAGGATGAAAATGCTTATCAAACGTAATGCTAATAATATTAGCGTGTTTATTTTCTGGTTTGCATTTATAAGCTAAGAAACAGAAACCACATTTTTGTCCTCAAGATACCAAAACTACGTTGAGACATTTTGATTTCATCTTGTTTTGTGATTCATTAGATGCTTCACCTACAACAAGATACTAACAGAGGTTGCATTGAAGTTGTGAAGGACGGAATATTCAAACAGGGGTGGCCTACAAATCGTTTGTTGTCAAATCGTGCCCACCAATAAATCCTAACCAGTCACAAGAACAAAGATATTATAATGAACTTAGGAATTCAACTACCTCAAAATCTCTATTGGAATGAATTAGTATCAAATTTCCTATTAATATTTTCTATGATTTATAATCACTGATTATGTTCAAAATCTAACACAAAGTTTCATGAATTCGTAAGGAGTAATTTATGGCACAAGATTCCTTCCCTTTTCATCTACTCTGCCCAGTCACACAACAGTTTATAGAAACTACTTCATTGTGGATTATAATTTGCAAATCCAAAATAATAGCAGGGAAATCCAAGAAATTCACCAACCTGATCCCCAAAAAAGTCCACAATGGACCATTTACAATTCTGTTCAATCAATCTAAGTTATGCAAATAAACTATTCAACTCATCCATCGATTCACAAGCAGTAAGCCAGAAAATTATTCAACTAATTATCATTGTACTTGGTACTTAGTCTTTTGTTCTTTCCATTGATCAATGAAATTAAGATCTTTCAACCCAATTAACGGTATATACATCTTTTAAGAATGGTGTTTGACTAAATGAAATAATTGATAAGGTAGCTGTGACACGTTTGGTTCCAACAAGAGCCCTTTCAAATAGAGATGGCAAAAAACTCATTAAACCCGATACATGCGGGCCCCCGCCACGAACTGGGCGGGAATTACCCACTTAATCGGGTATCTGGGGCAGGGTCGGGTAACAAGGTCCCCACCCCACACCATTTAATTTAGTTTAACTTTTAATTGATTATAAGTTTACAATTACAAAACAATTTGTTTATATTTTATATGTAATGGCCCGGGCCCAAACCCAAAATTTGACCCAAAAGGGAAACAAAACCTTCCCAATTCCAACCATTCAGTGAATAGGCGTGACTTGAGGGTTTGTTGGTTTGAGGATTTTTTTCAATTTCCACAAAAAGGCTACTGACCGTGCATCTTCCTCAGTTCGCCGTCGAAGTTCTTGCTTACTATCTCTTTTCTCTCACTTCCTCTCAAATCTAAAGCCGAACTGCCGATACCGAAGGACCCGAGGTAATTTGACAATTTCTCCCACTTAAAATTGATTGAACAAGGAAGGTAAAACTTACATCTTTGATGAAAGTATCTCTGGAACTTTTAGAGGTTTAGTTCCTTTTTTGCCTTCCAACAGCTTATTGTGAAGATTGATATAATTTCTAGTTGTCTACTTGTATGTAAAGGAAATTATGTGTTTTTGCAGTTTTTACTTTATTTGATTGTCCTTCTAGTATCTGTCCAATTATTTGCAGCAGTACATAATAGTTTTTAGTCATCAATGTTTGTAAACATGTAAGTTGCTCTGCCAAGCAGCCTAGTTGAGCGTTACTCTGTCTCTGTGAGGGAAAAGTTACACAATTATACAATTTTTATGACATTGGAGCTCATCAGGTGATGTAGAGGTGTTCTTTGAAATAAAGTTACAACACATTGACTTTGATAAAGCAGTTGATAGCTCTTTGCTGTAGAATTTTTACACGTAGTAGTTGACATTCTAGTAATTTTCATCTTTATTTCTTAATTCCCAGCAATGCCTTGGTTCATCAATTTGTCTTCATTATTCATTTCGGATGTCTGGATTACGGCATTGTACACCAGTATCAAGCATTGGAAGTACTCCACTATGATCAAGTACTAGTCCATCGTACGAAGACTTACCTAGTCACGCAAATACACAACAAGATCCAATAGACTTGTGTGAGGAGGAGGAGGAGGAGGAGGTGAATAGTGGACAAGGTAAGAAAAGGAAATTAACTTTTGTGGTGTGGAATCACTTCAAAAAAAAGAGTCGTTGAGGGGTGATAGAAAATTAAGAGCTAATGTAAGAATAGGACAAAACATTCGCATGAACATATGAAAAGACGTCCACGCCGAAATCAAAAAGACATTAAGCAGACAATATTGAATCTAGTAAATAAAGCTTGTGGGAGGGTTTCAATGGGCACTTACTCATTTGATTAAGACAATGTTCGGAGGACACTTGGAAGTATGATAATCTTTCATGAGTATCCACTTTCAATGGTTGAACACATAGGATTTAGAAGATTTACGAATGCTTTGCAACCATTGTTTAAGAACGTTTCTCGTAACACTATAAAGAATGATATTTTGAAAATTTATGATTACGAGAAATTAGCCTGATATAGACATTTTAGAAGAAGATAGCAGCACTTAAAGATCTACAACACGAAGTGTAGCATTATGTGATGTTTGTTTGCGCGCTATCTTGTAATTTATCTAAATGTGTAATTGTTATCTTTTATTTAAATTTTCAAATTATTTTTGCTTTTATGGGTAATGTAATTATATAACCTGATGAAGTACAATGGATCTAACCTTTATTTCATTTATATTTATTGTGTTATGAAAATGTCATAATCAAATACTTATATTAAAAAATGAATTTTAAAAAAAATGTAAACGGGGCAAGGACCCCGACCCACCCCAACTTAAATGGGTATAGGTGTGGGTATGGGGCAGGAAATTACCCAACGGGGCGGGGGTGGGGAAAGGCTGTCCCGACCCGCCACGTTGCCATCCCTACTTTAAAAGATATTTGGAATTCACTTTTTTTGTTGTGTGTGTGTGGGGGTGGGGGAGGCAATAAACATCTATGAATGGGGAGAAAACAAATCAAATTAAGGGCTTGTGTGGGAGGGATTAAAATCAGATTAAAATTGAAAATATAGCCGTTATTGTTGACTTTTATTAGACGAGCGGGGTCCAATAACGGCCATATTTTCAATTTTAATTGGCTTTTAATCCCTCCCGAACAGGGCCTAAGATTGAACAGATATCAGCTTGTGAATCAACTTCAACATGCTGCCAAATTAGTAAATACTTACGAGTATAAAATTACTAAAGAAAGGAATAGCTCCCTACATCTAGATAGTTGGGCAATACTTATATGACAGCTGAAGATGCAATTCTTAGAAGCAATGAAGAGCATTAGTTGGGCAATACTTATATGACAGCTGAAGATGCAATTCATAGAAGCAATGAAGAGCAAGAGCAAGAGCAAGAGCAAGAGCAAGAGCAAGAGCAAGAGCAAGAGAGGATTCGATTGCCGGTGCATGACTTTATACTCCATCCAGTTCCTAAACCATAATTATCACAATTATATTCACTAACATTAACTTTTCTGCAATATCTTTTGACAATTAACTATTGTTTAGAAATTAAAGGTTGGAAAAATAGTAAGGGTTGTCAGTAAAAATAACTTACATAGACCAATAGCACCAAATGATGATAAAACATTCCTAACATTACATAGTTCAAATTTTGGTGCATTAATTCACACCTTATAGAGATGAAATAAAAAAAAATAAACGGAGGCTTGATGCCCGGAATTCAAAGATTTTAATCTCAATTACGAAAAAGTGATCAATAAAATGTTCATGTCTGTGAGTGACTAAACATACCTCAAGAACTCATGGAAGTTGGAAAAATACCCCTTCAGAAATCTGTAAAGATCAAATAAAGAAAACTCTCTCTCTTTGACTAGCTATACCCTTGAACAAGTAGCTGCTGCCAGTTCCCTAAACAAGTATACAAAGTCTAAATCATTTATGCCTAATTTACACTAGTGATGTCCTGCAAATTATCCATATTTTTCCCAAGAATTTGATCAGCTCTCATTTTCTTGTCATGTTTTTCACCATGGTTGACACCAAACCAAAGAGCTATTTCCTCAACTCCCTCATTCCAAGGGCTGATTGCTGTACCCGAGCACTTCCTGCTATTTCTTAACTTAAATTTTATTGTGGTCCTCTCATTCAATGGAACCTTTCTACTGTCCTCTATAGATTTACACGACTGGGTCCCAATATGTTCAATCGCTTGGGCACATGGTTCTAAAACAGAAACATGGTTCTCCAAAGCTGCATGATTCTGCCATTTCCTTGTAGCCTCATCTGATAGTTTAGCCGGAAGAACAGGTAAAGACACCTCCTTATCCTCAAACTGAAGAGGTGGGGCAAGAAAAGGGTTACTTTCAACTGCGCATTTTGCTTTTGCAGCATACCCAGGTTCATCAGCTAACCCTGCTTCAAAGCCATTAAAAATCAACTTCTGCTTCAAATTCAACAAAGACCTTTCCACCTTCATGTGCCGCTCTTCAATTCTACCTTCCACTGCAAGCTCAGGTTCTTTCATGTCCCTTGAATTCAAATACACACAAGTCTCAGGATCTCGAAACTTTGGCAACCAACCAGGTATATGCTCATCAGGGGGGTTTTCACCCATTTGCACAAAACTTAAATACAATTTTCTCTCTTTCACAACTGGAAAAGTCGGAATTGAATATGCAAATGGGAATTCCTCAGCTTCGTCAGCGTACCGAATAATGTCTCTAACTACTCCAGAGCGAGAAAGAGAATGATTAACGTCGGAAGCACCAGAAAACCCCTGAACAGAACCCAAATCCTCCAACCCCTGAATCACATCAAACACATTACACTCATTCCTATTAGCTAAATTTGCACAAGACATAGCAATTTTTCCAATCTCTCTGATGTACCTCACCCCTACATCAGAAAGGGTGTCGAGAGCAGACTGCTGGAAGCTCTGATACCCTAGGCTCTGACATACCTGTGTCACGGCAATTCTAGCAATGGCCTGGGCGAAATCATCATTTCGGGGTGTTTTATTCTTCTTTTTATCCTGGCGTTTCAAGAACTCAACACCATACTTCCCATCTCCATCACTCATACAACAAGACTTCATAATCATAAATGTAACCTCGCTCAAACTAAACTTCCAGAAAAATGTAAGTGATTCTCCAAAAATTCAAGAAAAAAAATGCATTTTTCACCAGAAACTTATCGTTTAAAGAAGGCTGAGTAAAACCCTAAGCTCTTGCATTTTCCCACGCCAGAACAAAATTCGTGAAAGAAATTGAAAAAGGAAATGTAAATACGAGATTATGGAACGTTACTTACCGGAGATGTTCAGGTTTTTTACTGGGCTACTTTCAGAAAGAGAATTAATTGAGAGGTTTATTGAGTGATTTATCCCAGAGATTAATTAAACCGCCATAAAACCCTTGATCCAGAGAGAGATACGAGTCTGTGTTACTCCCTTATAAAGACGGCATCTGCACAAGTGTTGTTGCTGAAGACCGATTTCTGATAAAATGATGAATAAATCTACTTGTCCAGAACTATTCACCGACCAGAATAAAATCCGGACTGACATTTTACAAAAGTACCCTCCTACATAATAATTTGCATACAAAACTATAAAAAGAATATATAAACTTCATTTAAGTCCCCAAGAATTTATAAACTAAGAATTTTGATAAAATTAATTATTCCGCTACTCTGCGCACTCTGGTGCAAAATGGTATCAGAGCCATATTAGATCATGGATATTGAAATTACTAAAAGAGATTGGTATTATATATTAAAAGAAAAATATGGAAGTTATATATTTTTAGATTCTGTTCCAAGGAGATTAAACATATTAACTTTAATAGTAATAAAGGAATTACCAAGAAAAATAAAAGAACAAATATTAGATAAATTAATAATATGATGCATAAGAGATGAATATATATATGAAAAATTATCATAGAATTTGAAAAAGAAGAAATTAACTTATATTGTAAAGAAATATATGAATCATCATCAGGGATATATTACGAACCTAAAGTAATGATGAATATAGTTGATGAAGAAAACATAATTGAAGAATTTTTGAAAAAAGTTGAAAAACACGTGAAACCTAATTATCCTTATTTACCTAAAAATAGTACAAATGAAAGTTTTGAGGATATACACAAAAGATTGAAAAATCTAGAATATAATATACAAATAGGAAATGCTCTTTTAGATAAAAATCTTAGGGGAAGAGATAAGATTATAATTAATCCACCTCAAGATTTCAGGATAATACAGAAAGAAATAGAAAAAGGGAGAATCATGAAATAAAGCAATATATGATTACGGAGGTTGAAGAATTGGAACAAAAATTCTATTGGCGAAGAATATGATGAATATAAAAAACAGTTAGAAGAATTAACTGAAAAAATGGAAAAAAAATAAGTTGAACACTAATCCATCTAGTCGTAATATAAAAACAGAATTCAGTAGCGATGAAAAATATGAAAATTATCCTTATGGTACACCAATACCTAATAAAGGGGGTGTTAATCAATATAAAAAAATCCAGAAAAGGTACACTGGAAATATTAGAAAACAATCCATAAAAGAAATAAATTCAATGAAATCTTATAATAAACAAATCCATACAATAAGAATATGGTTAGATCTAGATTGTGTAGATAAAGATAAAGCCATTGAAATGTGGATGAAAATCACAGACTTAGCTATACAATTTAACAAATGGGAAACATATACAGCGTTTAGATTTATAGAACATACATTTAGAGGTATAGTATCCGAATGGTGGAGAAAGCTACCAGAAAATATAAAAAGAAGTATAAAACATAGAGAAAATACACCTGGAGCATTAGATAATAGGAATAATCTAAATGATCAAATTATACAAGAAATATTAAAAATGTTAGAAATAGCCCTAAAAACAGAATTTTTAGGACACAGATTTACAGTTAATGAAGAAATTAGAAAACAAGAAGAATACAATAAAGGAATGATAGCAATGGGAAATTTAAAAATATGTGATATGTGTGAATTAGAAAGGTACACATGTAAATTTGAAGTTATACTATATATTAAATCAAGGAAATTATCAAGAAAATAACCCTATATTAATGTCTTATTTTATGAAATTACCATTCTCATGGGGAATAAAATTATTAAAAGAATATGAGAAACTATTACCTCTTTGAAAAGAAGATGGTATAGATAAAGATAGTTTTGGATGTAGAATTGAATTTACAAAAAGAATAGTAGGCATCTGGTGTAGAGAAACCTTAGAAAGTAAGAAAGCACATAAGATGATACGAAACTCACTATGTTGCTACAAAAATATAGGACAAATTGAACAATTTGATTGTCACAAAAAGAAGTATAAACCATATAAAAAATATAAAAGAAAGTTCAAAAACTATAAAAAGTTTAAGAAAAGATTTTTTAAACCACATAAAAAATATTTCAAGAAAGAGATTGGACTAAAAAGCCCAAATCAAAATATATTAAAAATGTAAATGTTTTATTTGTAATGAAAAAGGACACATTGCCACTCAATGTCCTAAAAAGAAAGATAAACAAAATGTAAAAATCCTTAGAATCTATGAAGAATTTCAAAATGATATGATATAGAACCAATTGAATATTTTGAAGATTTAGGTAGTGAATGCAGTAGTATTTATGAATCAGATACATCATCTTCAGGAGAAGACTCTGAAGAGATAGTATATATGAATCAAGAAATACAACAGATAGATCAGGAAATAGAAGTAGAAACAACTGAAAAAGTTGAAGATTCATTAGAAGGCATAAACCAAGAAATCACATTTGATACTAGAAAGTACAAAGGGGTAACTAAGAAAATATTAGATTTACGGGAAAGAGATGTATTCCATCAAAAATTCTTAGGAATACTATCAAAAGTAAATAAAACAGTTGTAAGTATAAATTACAAAGAAATATCTATCAATATAGAAGACATAATGGGAAAAGCGAGAATCCCTATAATTACAAAAGAATGGGTAAAACAAAAATTATCCAAAATCCCAGAAAATATAAGAAACAAACTAAAATGCATTGAGATAGGAGAAATCCAAATCATGGTAAAAGGATTCTTTAGAGAATGTATGAATATACCTATAGAAATATATTGTATGGACAATAGAATCTTACAAGATCTTATAAATGCTCTATTAGGAACAGTTGTAGGAAATCTAGTCTATCAAAAGATAATATTCATAGTAAAATCAAACTATGCAGTTTCACTGATTGATGAAAATATTGACCAAAGTTTCCATCTATATTATAGAATTGGAAACTTAAAAATATTACGAAAAAGCAAGGCTATTAGTATTAGCATAAAATCAATTTTTGCTTTTTGTACTAGCCATCACAATAATCTAACAAAAATAAATGATAATATTATCATACATAAAGATTTTGAGGAATTAGCTCAATATATACCTCCCAAATACCGAGAAAATGAAATAACTATAACACAACAAATAATGTTTGATTTTCATAAACAAGTAAGAGAAATCAATTCTAAAAGAAAATTGATAAGAAGAAACAGTGTCAGTCTAGAAGGAGATAATCTTATTGCAAGATTTCCCTCCAGACAAGACTCTAAAGTAAGCCAAGTTAGAAAACTCAGTATTGCTGAACTAACAAATTCGCAATATTATATTAAAACAAGATATATTAATCAAGAAGGATACAAGAAAAATTTTCTTGTCCTTATCGATACTGGAGCAGAAAAAAAGTCATGTAAATGCTAAATTTGTTAGCTATTTACTAGATTTTGAAAACATTCAAAGATTATTTGGGAAATAATTTTTAAACAAAAATTTATGTAAATTTCCCTCTTATATTTGTAGGAAGGGATCAGAAAGAATATAATAAAAAAATAATACTATACAAAGATGAATCGTATGGAATCAAACGCTCACCTATACTATTAGAGATGAACTTCCTTGAAAAATTTAGTCCTTATAAAATTTGCCAAGGATATCTGAAGATAACAGTAGATGATAATCCAATTATCATACCAAGAATATATGAAAATATGAAAACATTGTTATTATGGAAAGATTCATAAATACTAATCTCATGAGTCTATATATTGAAATTATACTCAATATAAAAGGTTATTGTAAAATGAAATTTCATACTTATCTAGATACATGAAGTACAATAAGCTTATACTTACCAAATGTATTACCAAAAGAATATTGGAAATATGACTCAAAGAAAATTGGCACTGCTACAATAGTAGGAGGAAACAAGGTAATATATAGCCAATATGCAAAAGAAGTACATTTTCTAATATCCTTTAGAGAAGTATTTGTTGATACAATATATATGTCAACCACAATTGGATGTGATATTTTATTAGTACAAAATTTCCTACTAAAATATGCACCATTTACACAATATGTAGATAGATATATGTTCACAATTCCTTGTGCACATACGATATTTACACCTAAGATAAGAGCTATTAGTATAGTATATAAAGAAATTAATCATCAAAATTCCTCAACCCAGCGTGGTGGATGTTGGAATACATAAAAAATTAAACTAGTTACAGTTTTAAAAGTGACGACGGAAAATAAGTTAGAAAAATTGAAAAAATAAATTTCTGAGACTTATTCAGAAAATCCATTAGAAAAATGGAACACAGACAAAGTAAAGGTAAAAATAGAACTAATCAATCCAAACACTATAGTAAGAGTCAAACTAATGAGATATAGTGTAGAAGATCAAAAAGAATTTAAGAATCAGATAAAATAATTCCTAGAGGCTAAATTGATTAGGCCTAACAAAAGCCCACATAGCAGCCCAACCTTTATGGTAAGAAAACACAGTGAGATAAAAAGAGGAAAAGCCAGAATGGTTATAAACTATAAGAAGTTAAATGAACTTACTAAATTTAATGGATATTATTTGCCTAATAAGGACACCCTTATTAAATGAGTACAAAATAAAAAAATATTTTCAAAATTTGATTGTAAGTCAGGGTTTTGGCAAATCATGCTTACAGAAGAAAGTAAACCATTAATTGCATTTAGTACCCCTAGTCCTTTAGGACAATATGAATGGAATGTAATGCCA